AGCACCATTTAAAAACCTCTCAGTGCTAATATGACAATTGAATAGGATGGCAGATACAAGCTAACTATAAACACCAGTGGCTTTCTTTTCTACTAGAAAAATACAAAATGGAAGTGAAAAACAATCTCATCTCACATATCACACTAATGATAAAGGCTTTAAAATACATATGAACAAATTAAACATAAAAAGTAAAATAAAACTAAATTATCATATAAAAATTATAAAATTATTATTATAAATTATAATAAAATAATTCTATGTTACAAAATTTACTAATGAAAAGACTTGAACACAGAGATATTTTCTATTCCTGGGTAGGAAGACAACATCCTAATAATATCTGTCCTTCGCAATATGAAATTACTTGAACTCCAAGCAGAATCTGAACAAATTGATACTTTTGTCTGATGGAGTGAAGATTCGAGGGGATGGCAGTTGTTTGGGTGTTGCTGGATTTATCCTAGTACATTAGAATTAGTAGAGACCTTTCAATACAATAGCAACATGGTCCTAGTTTCCTATTAAAATGATCGCTCTAGTTGCTGCATAGAAAATAGATTGTATGTGTATGTTACAGGAAGAAAAGCTGAGGTGACGTGGAGGGTGCAGTTAAGAGGAGTAAGAAGTTAACAAGTTATAACTGAGGGTGACTTGGACCATGGAGGCAACAAAGGAGGCAGAGAGAAACAGGATCTTGAGATATAGTGATCCCCAGTAGACAGTATCATGAGAGTAACTGATAAGAAACATTAGGGAAAGATTCAGTAAAACCTGGGCATCTCAAAAGAAGTCCAGAAATAATGAGAAGAAAGACTTTTCTCTCAGCCACAACTAGCTAAGGGTTTTCAGCATTCTTGCAAGGAAGAAACTAGAAACTAATAACAGAATTATCATTTGTTTTTGCTGTAGAGATTATGCTTCAGTTAAATGTTTAAAAATTGTTCATATTATTAATGGCATAATGTGAATTCACTCATTCTTACCTAACCCTATTGTCTTCATTAAATCCTAAGTAGTGAAGCTGTCCAGAGATTGATGAACATTAAGTATCTCAGCTGGGTCAATGCTACTTGAATTACACTCAGTCTTCTGCTATCCAGTCAGGAAACTGGGTAAGCAGTCTCTCTCATAGAATTTTGTTTTCACAAACAGCCCCTATATTTCCATGACACCATTTGGGAAGGAAAGTCGTATAACAGATTTACTCAGGTCTAGCAGACCGTTGCCTTTGTCGAAGACAGGAAAAATGAATTTAGATTTTGTTTTCAAGAAAACATAGAGATCCAAAGTTTTATGTGAAATCCCCATTTTTGAGAAATTATTGTACCTTTTGTGCAATACTGTATGTACCAAGTACAACTCAGGGCACTATAACTTTTACGCTGTTGCCATAAAAGTTGAACTTTTTGGAACAATCTACACTATTCTTCCTGGAAGGTCTACCTTACCCACTCTGCACTCCCTCTTCCTGAGATCTCACTACTCCCATGGCTTCAGTTGCCAGCTATGTTCCAGACTTCTTGTCTGAGGTTCTGAGGAGGCAAAAATATCTAACTTTCTACATCTGGGTGGTATCTCAAACTCAACATGTCTAAAATTGAAGTCATTATCTAATCTCTCAAATAAATCTATTCTTCTCGCGATATTTCCTACTGGTCCACTGACCATCTGCCTTCTTTGGTAGGTATCAAATTACTCTTACTTTTCCACACCCAATCAATTCCAAGTTCTGCCAGTTGTTACCCATATCCCACTACCTACTTCTCTTTACTTTCAATGCTATTACTCTATTGCAAATTGCTACTCTTTTGCATAGAATTAATTGGAGTCATTTTTACTGAGGTTGGGTTCTATAGCCATCCTACAAATGGAAAAATGTATGTCAAACCTCAGCCAATGAGATACTCAGACTATGGAAAGACCAAATGTGGGAAATGTAGTTTTTTAGTTCCTCCTAATCTGGGGTATCCTCTCTCCTCATTATATGGATCCTCCCAAGGTATTTAAATTGTTTTCTCATGGGGCGCCTGGGTGGCTCAGTCAGTTAAGCATCTGACTTCAGCTCAGGTCATGATCTCATGGTTCATGGGTTCGAGCCTGGTGCGGGCTCTGTGATGACAACCAGCTCAGAGCCTGGAGCCTGCTTCAGATTTTGTGTCTCCCTTTCTCTTTGTTCCTCCCTCACTCATGCTCTGTCTCTGTCTCTCAAAAATAAATAAACATTAAAACTTTTTTTTAAAAGAGCTGTAATATTAAAAAATAAATAAATTGTTTTCTCTTGTTCTTTCTGTTTTCTCTTTGACGAGCAGATATAATTGAATTTTCAGAAGTTATTTTTAAAAAATTTTTAATGTTTTATTTATTTTTGAGAGAGAGAGAGAGAGACAGTGTGAGCAGGGGAGGGTCATAGAAAGAACGAGACACAGAATCTGAAACAGGCTTCAGGCTCTGAGCTAACTGGCAGCACAGAGCCCAACACAGGGCTCGAACCCACAAACTGTGAGATCATGACCTGAGCCGAAGTCAGATGCTCAACCAACTGAGCCACCCAGGTGCCCTGAATTTTCAGAAGTTAAATGTTCATATGATGCTCATCCAAATCCTAGGAACACATGGCTATTGCAAATAATGCTGCAAAATGAACACAAAAATGCTGATATCTTTTTTTTTTAATGTTTTATTTATTTCTAGGAGAGAGAGAGACAGCGTGAGCAGGGGAGGGTCAGAGAGAGAGGGAGTGACAGACTCTGAAACAGGCTCCAGGCTCTGAGCTGGCAGTCAATGCTGATATCTTTTTGAGTTAGTGACTTCATTTCCTTCAGATAAATACCTAGAAGCAGAATTGCTGGATTATATTGTAGTAGTTCTTTTTTTAAATCTTTTGAGAACCTCCATAGTCTTTTCCATAGTGACTATACCACTGCATTCCCACCAACAATGTTCTAGGGCTCCCTTTTCCTCCAGATCTTCTTTTACCTCTTTCTTATCCTTTGTGTCTCAATTCAAATATCATTTTCTCAGAACACTCTTCCAAGCACTCTCCAGCTAAGACACTCATTTTATTGAATAGCACTATCACTTTTCAGTTTGTCTTCTTCAAAAACTTAGTAGCCCCTGCAACAATATTGTTTAGTTGTTTACAAGATTTATGTCTGTCTGCATGAAGGCAAAGACTTGTTTACTGTTTATTAAAAATACCTTCAGCTTCTGGAATAGTAGCACATAGTAGCTATTCCATAAATACATTAACTGACTCTGGATATGCAGGGGCAGGCTAATCAAAGCTTTCAGTATCCTAACGACTTACAAGATTACACACTGTCAAAGCAAATGTGTGGTGTTCTAAGTGTATCTAGTGACCTCTACTGGAATACCTACCAAGGAAATCAAACAGAAGTCTTCCTTTTTCACTAATTGTCATCTCACCTCGTTTTCATTATATGATAAAATGTTAGTGTGAATGTGAAATTAAGGATCGGGACATTTGACAGTCCCTCTGCCATCTTGGAGAAATTCTACCTGCCCTGTCTGAATGACTGTTCTCTTTACTCCCAGCTCATCAGTTTATGTTTTTATTCTTTTATTTAAAAAATTTATTTCTTTTTTGTGGGGCAGAGAGACAATCTTAAACAGGCTCCATGCCCAGTATGACGTGGGTCTCAATCTCACGACCATGAGATCATGACCTGAGCTGAAATCAGAAGTCGGATACTTAACCGACTGAGCTACCCAGGCACCCCTCAATTTATGTTTTCAACACAAATCTTTGAGGAGAATATTCAAGGAAATAGAAAGCAGAAAACCTTTTTTGATACCTCTTCAAATCTTATTACGTAAATCACTGCCTCTCCTCATCCTCCTCCCTCACACACACGAAAAAAGAGGATTCATCCATATAACATGATAGATGAAGATATATCCTATGGACATATTTCATATGATTCTATTTATTTCACTCCTCTTGACTCAAAGAGCAATTTTGAAAATGGCATTCACCACTGAAAAGCAAACAATTGGCAAAGGGGGTTCTTCTGTTAGGAATTAGAGGATCAAAAGAGTTACTTAAGTCTACTTTGAGGGGTCATTCGGAGATGGTGTGTTGTTGAGAATGCTGGTACTTGAGGCCAAAACCCCAAGTTAAAATCGAGAACCAGGAGTTTCAAAAAGAGTAATGAGCAGAGCATGGGAATGAGTGAAACAATCATGAGGCCATTTGATTAAATTTTTGAAGACAGTTTTTTTCCTTTTTAATTATCATTGATCAGTCAAAATCACATTCTTTGTATGTTATACTCAAAGCCTCCTGGGATTTATACTTTTCCGCAGGGAAATTTTAAGAAAAGTACTTAAGAGAAGGGAGGACCAAGATGTATGCCTAACATCAAAATTTAGATTATAAATGTAGACTGCAAAAACTAGAAATATTTTTAATGCTCTAGAAATAAGACTCAAAAAATACTTAGGACATCTAAAGGGATCTAAAGTTTAGAAATTGTCCCGGTGAATTCTACATGTAGTCTAACATGGTCTGCAAACCTAATAAGGGGAATTGCTAATCTTGGATCACTCTGGAAGTGATGAAATAAGCATTGATGACTGCATGAGTCTAGGAGTTTGGCCAAAAGGACAAGGGCTAAAGGTCCAGACTTGTGTCATGCTCAGCCTGTGAGGATTCCACCCTCTGAAGGGGTGCTTGCCTAAGCCCGGAACTCAAGGATTTTACGTATGATTGAGTTGGTCAGGTTGATACTGATTGGAAATACTGTCCTCACTAGACCTGCCCGGAAAGACTGTAGAGAAGGGCTGACAATTCCTCCTTCAACTGAGAGTTCTCTGGGAAGCACATGAGATTTCATGTGACTGGTTTATACCTATGAAAATTTCCCCACGCCTGAGATCTTCCAGCTCTGAACCTGTGCAGCTCTCGGCACACCGCTCCTGGCATCACAGCCTATTGAAAAAGGAATTCAAAAAAGTTTCGGAGGACCAGAGAGAGAATGCTCCGAGGCCGATCTCTGTCTGTGACATCCCTGAGTGGGCTTCCTCGGTGGGAAGTGGAAGAACTTCCTGTGGAGGATTTGCTGCTTTTTGAAGTCGCTTGGGAAGTAACCAATAAAGGTTTGTACTGCCCTAGAAAGTGGCTATTTGGCAGATTGTTGAAGAATGCAGATTAGGATTTCACGGGGGACTCTAGTGAGAATGAACTGACAGTGAAGGAAGAAAGTATTCAAACTGAATATAAATTTAGGTTACATTTAACCTTGTCTATTTCAACAGGCAATGATGACCTAGATGGGGTTGTGTGGAAGGGAGACAGTTGAAAGCAGTCATTGGAATGTGCGTTTAAATTAAAATTTGGGGGCTCCTGGGTGGCTCAGTCGGTTAAAGGTCAGACTTCCGCTCAGGTCATGATCTCACGGTTCGTGGGTTGGAGGCCAACGCTGGGCTCTATGCTGACAGCTCAGAGCCTGGAACCTGCTTCATATTCTGTGTGTCCCTCTCTCTCTGACCCTCCGCTGGTCTCTCTCTCTCTCTCTCTCTCTCTCTCTCTCTCAGAAATAAATAAAACATTAAAAAATAATAATAAATTAAAAATTGACATGCATGTTATGACAAAACAGGAATAAGAAGCTAATATTTACTTTTCTGGTTTTATGATTTCTCTCAACAAAAAAAGCATAAACAAGCACTTTATTTTAAGGAAAACCATATGTGATCAGGACCAATTTTAAACTTTAATGCCATGCACCATTAAAGATTATATGAAATACTTAATGTTTCTAATAACTCAAGATAAGCTTGTAGTTAAAGTTTTAATTTAAAAGCTGCTCAGAATGCATTATATTGGGCTCCTATTAAGAAGAATGAGAGTATTTCAAACTTAAAGGAATTATATTTGACATGTGTTCTGATTTTCACCTTCGAACACCTGCTAAGTGTTCGAAGTTCTCGTGTGTGTACATTCATAAAATTCATTAAATCAAAATAAAAAATCAATTCTGCTTGTGTAGAAATGCAAGAATGAGTGTGACAGAACAAAGCACAGTCTTCTTCTCTGTAGTTTAGTGAGATGGAAGCAACGAGGACAGAAACCTTATTATGGAAAAGTGTTTTATGAAGAATTTTTTTCCACTCACGAGGTGTTTGAATGTGCCCAAAGTTCCCAGGGACAGAGTCATCTCTATTATACATAAATCCCAGGTTATGGCTTGAAATGTAGGTTTTCCTCTACAGAGGGATATCACTTGTTGGTGGGAAAATTGGGGGGATCCTTTAGCACCAGGAATCAGTTCAGAAGAGCCCTGTGTGAGTTCCAGCACCTGAGCAGAGCCCCCTCTCCTTTCTTCTCTCCTTCTTTCTCTCCACTTAGCAAACGTTAATAGAACATTGTCTCCTGGCGTTGGGAACACACTGGTCAAAACTGTAATAATCCCTTACATCTTGGTGACGTGTGTGCTGATCTCAGGGCCTAGAATGGTACCTGGTGCACAGGAAATGTTCAGTGAATGTTTTTCCTTTTGAATGAAGGAATGAATATATTTCATTTTTAGCCCTAAGCTGCCTTGAAACCTGTTTTCTTTTATTTCCCACGCAAAAGAAAGGAATTTTGTGTGTGTGTGGGAAAGGGAACCACAGTGTGATTTTCCAACACTGACATCATCTCCAACATATCTTCATTTTAATATTTTTGACAGTCTAATTTTTAAGAAATTTTTATATAAATGGACAATTGTGTTCATCCCTGGCAATTCATTGACACTATATATAGAGTTTTTTAAATTTACTTTGAACTTTTACTTCCTTGTAGTTCATGGCAGTGATATGAGGCATCTTAGAGATCAATCATCCAACTCCTCTATTTCAAAGATGAAATGGGTGCCTAAGGCATTAAATGATCAAGCAAATGGCAGGGTTGGGACTAGCATTTAGGTATTCTTCAATCTCATTTCTCTTTTTTACTACCACACAGGAATTAAAAACTAAAACCATTGCCTAAGGAAATGTTCTATAGATGGAAGAATACAGGACTTGCAGTCAAAAGCCATAGATTTCCAAGACTTGAAAAAACATCTTTTAATCTATCTGAAGATCTGTTTCTTCATGAATAAAATTAGTGTCATATGCTCCTGGTTTCTCACAATGTTTTGTGGCAAGCAAAGAAACCTATTTACATCCAAGAAAACAAAAGATTTCTTAGAGGAAAAAAAAATTCCTCTCTGCCAGACTTTTGCCAACAAACAATGGATATGTGTAAAACACAACAAATGAGAGAGTCACAGTTAAATTATTAGATATTAATTCTCAGACTTCAAAATAACACTTTCCCCTTGCTCATATTGCCCATGACATTCATTGCTTTTATTCATTTATCCATTTATTATTGCTCTTCATTTATTTTTCATAAAGATTCATCAAGTGTGTATTAAGTGTCAGGCACTGGGAAATGAAGGGGATAGAGTTTAACAATACAGAACTGATTCCCAGTCTTCCAGAATTTACGAACTTGAAGGAAGATAGACATTGAACATGCAATTATAGTCAACTGTGATGACAATAAGAATAAGAGAACAAGGGGCTCTTAGACTATATGTTGGAGGCAGGAAGGGGAGGTTTCTACATAAATTGGGATAAGTGGGGGGAAACCTCTGTGAGGAAGACACAGTTGAGCTGACTCCTTAAGGATGAATAGCCATTGGGTAAGAATGATAGAGGAGAGATAAAGAAGGATGAGGGAATGGTATGTACCAAGATGCAGAGGTGAGAATGTGTAGTCTGTTCAAAGATCTGAGGGAAGCTCAGAGAGGGGGAAAGGAGTAGAATGTGAGAGCAAATGGGAGAGACCAGCAAGGAGCAGTTTGTTAAGGCTAGAGTTAATAGACTTAAAAATTCTATCTCCAATGCATCAATGATGGGAAGCAATTGAAGTTCTAAATAGTGGGAAGTACTAAGTAGTCAGATGTGTTTTTGAAAAAGTGCTATTACAAGTTGGATGAGAGTATAGCAGGAAAGTAACAGACAAGTTAAAGACTGTGGTGTGGTCTAGGATGGAGTTTTGCCCAGATGTATGAAACAAAATGGTTTACTTTCTCCTTTCTTCAGGACTCACTACAATCATTTCTTCTGCACAGACCTGCCCAAATCATGGTAGATTATGGACTAATTACTATGTTGAGGATACTTAAGATCATTAAAAAGACTTGAACAAATATCGTCACTACTAATGATTGCTAATTTAATACATGTAAGCAATTCTGAAATGTAGTTGCTAAATGAATGCTTCTTTTTAAAAATTTACTAAAAGCAATTCATTTTATCCTTAAGCTAGTATGTAATATAATACTCATAATACTTCTACTTTCTCCATTCTCAAACTGGGCATCAAAGTTCTAGGGCATATAGACATTTGTGTGAAAGACAGAGGGAGAAACTCAGAAAACTACAGTCAGAATGGTATAGTAGAAACTGATTATAACTGCAAGTCTGCTATTCTAAGGCAGAGTTTGCAAGGTGGGACCCAGACCAAAGAGGACTGCAAGGAGTTTGTAAACCCTTAAAATTGTATCTGAAAATGGTATGTATAAGTCCTCCTGGAGAAGGGGACAAAATACTTTCATCAGGTTTCCAAAAGCCTTAATGGCTGATGTGAGAAACATTGCTCTAAAGTTCCCTAAACCCTGAGTTCCTTTTTGTTAACCCAAAGTTCCAAAAGCCAAAATAAAAAAACTTTTTCCTCTAAGTATTGTTTTCCAAATGGATTTTCTCTAAGGTAAAATAGAAAGGATTCCACTTTTCCCAAGACTTAAGATATTTATCTTTTTGTGACATTGGTCATTTTCTTCCTCTGTCCCTCCCACCCAACACTTTAAAAATCCATCAATATTTTGTTCTACACAGCTACTTATAGTCTTGTTGTCTATAGCCTGTGGGCTCTGGAGTCAGACTACATGGATTGGAATCCCAACTCCATCATTACCTGTGTGATGTTGGATCGGTCTCATAGCTTCTTTGTGCCTTAGTTTCCCTATTTAAAAATAAAGATAATAATAGCACCTAGCTATAACGGTGTTGTGCAAACAAAAAGAAATACCAATTGGAAATCACTTAGAGCAGTGCCTAGCATTTAATAAATGCTCTGTAGGTATTTGTTTATTCTTATTTCTTCATAAAATTTATTCATACTATGAGGAAGTTGGATCACTCATTTTCATATTGCCTTTCCCTTTGAGAAATTCCATGATTCTATTTTTAAATGCAAAAGCAGAGAGGGGGGAAAAGAGATATGGATCAACGTTACAGTAATTAGGATTGAGGTGCCTTTGCCAGGTGTGGATATGCATTGGCTGTGTCAATGGCATCCCAAGCTCCACCACATGGAACACAATCTATACCAAAACCATGCTTGGCATACACATAGCTTCAAGATGAGCACTAGTCTCCTCACTTCCTCTTCATCCAGATTACCATGTCTGAGCCCCTCCTCTATAAAACATTTGGAGTTATCATTGTAGTATAATCAGGGTGGGGGATGTCTATAGTCTTGCTCTGAGCATATCATCTTTCACTGCCCAAGACTGCAGATGCTTTAATTTAAACCACAGACCCAGCAAAGCTCTGGACACATAACCATTTGTTGACCATTGTCACTAGTAACTCTTTCCCATCAGACCTACTGCCTAGAGGATAATGTCTAACTGTATAATGACTTCCCCTGCTCTGCAACTGTATCTCGGAACAGGAGGGTCAGATTAGTAGCTATGTGTACTGAAATCATATAACTTCCAAATTCTGTGAATTTTAAGCATTTTAAAAACAGTGAAGATTCTCCCAATTTATAAAAACAGTGGACCCTTGAACATTTTGAAGTATGTGGTCCACTTATATGCAGAGTTTTTTTCAATAATACAGTACATCACTGTAAATGTATTTTCTCTACTTTATTATTTTTAAATAACATTTTCATTTCTCTAGCTTGTTTTATTATAAGAAGATAATATAAAATACATATAGCAGACAAAATATGTGTTAATCGACTGTTAATGTTATCAGTAAGATTTCAGTTCAACAGTAGGCAATTAGCAGTTAAGTTTTTGGGGAGTCAAAAGTTACATGTGGGTTTTTGACTATGTAGGGTGTTGGCAACCCTAACCACTCCATTGTTCAAGGGTGGAGCATACATCTGTATTATATATAACATATGCTTGTTATATATAATATACACAGCACAATAATATATAACTTATTATATACAGAGGGCACCTTATTTGGCGGGTGTCCATATTCCATACTGCTTTGGAATCCTGATTTTAGGGTAAAACTTGGGGTGTTAGCTATCTCCGTGGCATATGCCATGGGATCTCATCTTTTCTTTGATACTTTGATACTTTGCCCTCACACTAAAGATAGCTCTCATGTTGTTTCAGGAAAATATAGATCAATAAAATACAAAGTACATGTTTGAAAGTGAAGGTTAAGTCCAAATTCAATGACCTACCCTGTGGTAAAACAATAATTCAATAAAAAATATGTGTTGGGGAACCTCTGGATTATACTCCAAATTTGAAAATAGGAATGATCCTATTTCTATGCCATCACATTCACCTAGTTAGCATGCCAGGAGAGGAGTTTGTGGTAACATGTGGTATCTAGACAAAGAGCTGAGGGTAAGCAGTTGGCATCTAAATATGAAGAGGACAGTTATAGGCTAGAACGAGCTTGAGCATATGAAATAGTGGTGACGTGATCTCCCCATGGAAAGACTACACAGGAAGAAGTCTAGGGTGGAAAGATTCATTTACAATTAGTCCCCAACCAATACAGGATTGTCAAATTTTTTTAATGTTATGTTTTTTATTCCTGATAGACTGAAAGAGCATATCAATGGTATTTATAACAGTCTAATGCCATTTGGGGACTATCCCCATTGAAGCTGAAGGTCTCACATGGGAAAAAGAAGTAGCAAATCAATTAACAATGTTTAATTTTGTATTTCAATTCCCACATCTAATCATTCTTTTTTTTTTTTTTTTTGAGTAAAGAATTTCTCTTCTCCCTTTTGTCCTTTGGCAAATAAAAATGTATTTGCATTTACCCAAGTGTATTTGAACTTGAAACACATAATCTAACAAACAAGGATGTCCTTAGATCTCTGGGCAAGATACATAGTTGCACATAAAAGAGAGTTTTCAAGAATACAGATGTGAATAAGGCATTAATAAATGTGTGCCATCAGAACCCGATAACATAGCCCCCGATAAGATCAAGATGAAGGAAATAAGTCTACAAAAGAAATTATTTGAAGGTTTTGCCTTTTTATGAATAGCAAGTTTGAATAAAGCTTATATATATTTAAATATGTTGCTACAATGTGATTCATTAAAGAAAAAAATTTTTGCTACTCTTGCAAATTATTTCTCTAAATTTGTTTTCCTCAACAAATGGTTTTAACAGTTCACAAAATTTTCTGGAATTTGGAGAAATATTTAGGCATATTTGGTGCTGGCATCAATGTATGTCGTTTCAGATTCATTGTTAATGGTAAGTGAATAATGTCTGTCCCAGTCCAGTCTGGAAGCCTCTGATTGCAAGGTTTACAGATTGTCTTCATGTGTCCCATGCTATTCTCATCACTTGCCATCTGATTTGTGATTGATAACGTACTTATTGTTCTCTGCTCAAGGGGGTTTCAAACTTTTTAAATTTTCTACAGTCACAAAATCTTTTCTTAGAAAGCAAGTTCTTAAAGACAATAAGTTTACATAGACTCATATGAAAATTGCTTTCATGTAATGCTTACATTTTGGGAATTATGTTAACTTTTCTCTTTTATGAATTAATGAATCCTGTTGGTCTCATATAATAGTATCAGCATTTGTATTATGTGTCTCACCTCTTAAGCAATTTGACAAAAAGTATATTTTGAGGTTCAGACTTAAAGAAAAATTTGCAGACGGCAACTGTACCTTTTGGCCATAGATTCTGACTATTGATAAGATTTATTATTTAAAGCCTAAGTTACTGAAATGGTTTAAGAGATGCAATTACTATCAAACCCTATATCCTGATGAATTGAAATAACTTATGAAAAGCTGAGGTGAAAAATAGGAAGCTCTCTTTTTAGTATACAAGTAATAAAATTGCTCTAGGGAATAGAGCTGAAGATTGGTGCCAGGATCTCTGTTGGCTTTGTGATTTCGCATAGCATTTCTTGAGTTGTTTCCTAACCTATAGCTCATGGACAAAGAATTATTCAATAAATGAATTCAGAATATATTCAGACTGTTTTCATATTCTCATACATGATGATTGCTTAGAGCCAGCACAAGATATCCTGTCTGAGTTTCCTGAAGGTCTTCTTGGTCCTTCATATTCCTCCTACCTACCTGCATCTCAAACCTTTCCTTTTGAATGCCTACTACTCTCCGCTTGCAAGCTGTGCTCTCAAATTAGGGCCTTGGCTGTAACTCTTCTTGTTGCTTAAAAAGTTCTTCCCCATGATAGTTGTTTGCCTAATTTCTTTACTCTTTTCAGTATTTACTCAAATGAGCTCCAGTTTTGGATACTTCTGCTACAACCTGCCTTTTGCTCCCAAGCTAAGTAATATTTTATCCCCCTGAACAGAAGAGCTAATTGAGACTTAGACAATTTAACTAGTTCAATTTAAGTTGTTGCCAATTTTTCACCATAGTAATGCCCCAATAAGAATCTTAATACACATCGGTTGGCACTCTTCTTTTTTTTTTTTTTTTTTTATTCTTAAATCACCATTCTTTTATTTCCATTGGGTAGGTTACCAACCATAACAGTATGTAGTTTTGATGTTACATTAATTTTTTAGTTAAAAAATCCAGGCAATAAAAATACATGCTACAAAATTCAAAAGTTATCAAACAAGTACAGTAAAAATTAAAGCTTTCTTAATACCTGATTCTATAGTACCAGCTGTCAGTTCTTTTGTTTTCTTACAGGGATTAAATTTTTTTAATTCTTTGGATGAAAGTGGATTAATCATAATCTTTATTTTATGAAATCTCATCATTCCAAATTTAGTCCTCTTTCATTTATTTTCACTATTTCCCAGGGATTTACAAACAATTTACTGCCTTTCTTCTCCAAATCCTTCATTGCCTGCAATCCTTTACTATAATATTGGAACTCTCTCTTTTGTTTATAATATTTATTTGCGTCCTCTCTCTGTCTCTCTGTTTTGGTTAAGACAGACTAGCTAAAAGTTTTTGAACTTTATATTTTCAAAGGGCTGACCCTTGAAAATTTTATTGATCTTTTCTATTCTTTTAAGTGTCTTTCATTTATATGTGCTCTTAAGTTTATCATTTCCTTCCTTATGCAAACTTTGGGCTTAGTTCTTTATTGTAGTTCTTTGGGGTGTAAAGTTAGTTACTTAAGACTTTTTTCTCCCTTGGGGAGCCTGCGTGGCTCATTCGGCTAAGTGTCTGACTTCTGCTCAGGTCATGATCTTGCGGTTGTGATTTCAAGCCCCGCATCGGGTTCTGTGCTGGCAGCTCAGGGCCTGGAGCCTGTTTCAGGTTCTGTGTCTCCCTCTCTCTCTGCCTCTACCCCAATCGTGCTCTCTCTCTGTCTCAAAAATAAATAACCCAAAAAGTTTTTTTT